CTTGGAACAGTTTTTCCTAACCCACTTTTGAGACCCAACAGAGAATAGGAGGAGACAGAGAGTGTTTATATTTGACCCCAACACATCTGAACACGTGATCTTGGCTCACGGCAGCCTCCACCTCCCCAGTTGAAGCGATTCTCCTGTCTCAGCCTCCTGAGTAGCTGGGATTACAGGCACATGCCACCACACCCAGCCCATTTTTGTATTTAGTGGAGACGTGGTTTCACCATGTTGATCAGGCTGGTCTCTAACTCCTGACCTTGTTATCCACCCACCTCCACCTCCCAAAGTATTGGGATTACAGGTGTAAGCCACCTTGCCTAGCCCTCTATCAATCTAAACATTTTAAATAAATGAAAGAAAACATTTGTTAGGTACATAGTAACTAACATAAAGTTATCTGAACATAAAATTAAGAAACAGCATATTGAATCCAGAAGTATATTAGAAAATACAAAATAAAGCAGCAAAGTGGCCAGGCCCCCCTAGGTGGGGGGACTGGGTCTGGGGTGGGTCTCCTCATCAACAAGATCTGGAAGGAGTACCCAGGCAGGATCATGAACATGTTCAGTGTGGTGCCCTCACCCAAGGTGTCAGACATAGTGGTGAAACCCAACAATGTCACCCTCTCCATCCACCAGCTCATAGGAAACACAGATGAGACCTACTGCATCTATAATGAAGCTCTCTATGACATCTGCTTTGGAACCCTAAAGCTGCTACGCCCACCTACAGTGACCTGAACCACCTAGTATCTGCCAACAGGTCAATTCTGACTTGCAGAAGCTGGCTGTGAATATGGTTCCATTCCCACCGGCACTTCTTCATACCCAGTTTTGCCCTGCTGACCAGCCAGGGAAGCCAGCAGTCACAAGCCCTGACAGTGCCCGAGCTCACCCAGCAGATGTTGGATGCCAAGAACAGGATGGCAGCCTGTGACCCCCACCATGGCTGCTACCTGATAGTGGCCACCATGTTCAGGGGCTGCATGTCCATGAAGGAGGTGGATGAGCAAATGCTTAATGTCCAAAACAAGAACAGCAGCTACTTTGGTGAGTGGATCCCCAACAATGAGAAAATGGCTGTTTGTGACATCCCACCCCACGGGCTAAAAATGCCCACCCCCTTCATTGGCAACAGGAGACCCATCCAGGAGGTGTTCTAGTGCATCTCAGAGCAGTTCACAGCCATGTTTCCACACAAGATCTTTCTGCACTGGTACACAGGTGAGGGCCTGTAAAAGATGGAATTCACCAAGGCCAAGAGCATCATGAATTACCTGGTGTTCAAATACCAACAGTACCAGGACGCCATGGCCAAGGAAGAAGGCAAGTTCGAGGAGGAGGTGGCCTAGAGCCTCCAGTCACCGGGGAAAGTAAGGAAGCAGTGAGAACTCTTAATTCATTCCCAGCTTGTCCTCTGGCCTGTCCCACTGTGTGTGCACTTGCTGTTTTCCCTGTCTATGTCCCATGCTGTAAAGACACCATTATTAAAGCATTTTCATAGTGAAAAAATTTGTTTTGGTTTATAGCCATGTGATCTTTTTTGCCCGATATACATTTTGTCTTCTATAAAATACCTGTGCACCTACTGAATACTTCCGTGTGTGACTGCATATGTGTCTGTATGTCATAAAGAATAATTATCTACATATCACAGATATAGATCTCAGAGTTTAACTGTGTATGCATTCCTATAATCTCTTCATCTCATAAGAATCTTAATTTTAATCTTGGACACAGAGGCTATCCTTTACCTTTTGAAACAGAGATTGGAAATCCCGGGGCCTGAACTGTTACACCCTAAGGTTAGTAAACTTCAATGAACATCTTTTTGCTGATCTTTTGGGGGGCAATATTTTTATTTAACCAGTGGGAGGGATGAGGTTCTCCCTTTTAGCAGCTATTTTGCAAGATGCTTTCCTCATGGGCTTGGTCTCCTTGTCCTCACCATGACCTGATAACCACATCAGTCCCGGCTCATTTCTGAGTAAGCTGGGGCTTTCAGCCCCACTGAGAATTGGCATCTGGGCTCAGGTAGCAGGGACACAGTGAAGGGGGAGGATTTTGCATGCCAAAGTTGGAAGGGGCAAAGCTGGGAGTTGCAGGGGGCAGAGAGGTTTCTGGGGATAAGATGATGCCAGAGCAGCTCAAGATTGGCCTTGAGTTCCCCTCTAGAGTTGACCTGATTCTGAAGACCAAGGTACGGCTCCAATAAACCAGACCCATCCTCATCGTTAGTCTCCTGGAGCCATAAAATCTAGGGGAGACAGGGTCCCCTGACAGAACCAAGTTAAATTTCCCAGAGATCTAGGCATTCATTTACCCTGATCCAGAGACTTCATACACCCCGGGAAAGAATCACCATTCCTGCAGATAATGGACTAAGGCCAAGAGGGCAATGAGGAAGTGCTGGGGGCATAATTCCCTGTGCACACCCAGCCATCTGCACTCTTCCATGGTGGCTCTGTGGGGCCCTCACACAGCCTCCATGCTCCTGCTCACACTGCTTGCCCAGCCAGGAGCCTTCCAGATCCACCTGAGTTACGCAAATCCCCAAGTGAAACCAACCTGCTTCAGCCTTCTCTTCCACAGCCTCCTGTTTATTCCCAGGAGATTCAGTCTCTTTCTTTTGTACCCTGGGTCCCTTCACTTGTGCTTCCACTGTGGGTGGTCACAAGCTCTGTGGCCTTTGGTGTGGATCTCTCTGTTGGAAGACACAGGATGCCCTACAAGTCAGGGATGGGTATCATCCCTCACAGAGACAGCCATGTGGCCCAGGATCTCTATGCACCTGCAAAACTGCTATTTCTGGCTTCTATAAACAATCTCTGGCTGAGCTGGTGGCTCACACCTGTAATCTCAGTGCTTTGGAAGGCCTAAGTTGGCAGATGGCATGAGTCCAGGCATTTGAGACCAGCCTGGGCAACATGGTGAAACATAGTCTCTACAAAAACTTGAGAGAGAGAGAGAGAGAGAGAGAGAGATGGGCACAGTGGCTCACACCTGTATTCCCAGCACTTTGGAAGGCCGAGGTGGGTGGATCACCTGAGGTCAATTTGAGACCAGCCTGGCCAAAATGGTAAAACCCTGTCTCTACTAAATATACAAAAATTAGCCAGGTGTGGTGGTATGCACCTGTAGTCTCAGCTACTCAGGAGACTGAGGCAGAATAATCACTTGAACCTGGGACACGGAGGGTGCAGTGAGCTGAGATCTGAGATTGCACCACTGCACTCCAGCCTGGGTGAAAAAGTGAGACTCCATCTCAAAAAAAAAAAAAAAGAAAAAGAAAAGAAAAAGAAAAAGGGCACTGTGGCTCATGCGTGTAATCCCAGCACTTTGGGAGGCCAAGGTGGGCAGATCATGAGATCAATAGATAAGACTGTCCTAGCCAACATGGTGAAAACCTGTCTCTACTAAAAAACAAAAAGTTAGCTGGGCATGGTGACAGGCACTTGTAGTCCCAGCTACTTGGGATGCTGAGGCAGGAGAATCACATGAACCGAAGAGGCAGAGGTTGCAGTGAGCAGAGGTGGCGCCACTGCACTGTTATACCAGAGCAAGTATAGAAAATTAACACCTAGACAAAAGTATGCCAAATTGCAGGGTCTTTATTGCTGGCGGCCACGGAGGACTCACGTCTCTCCAACTCGTGGCCCCGAGCTCAGGGGAAGCAGGGTTTTTAAGCTGAAAAACCACATCCTGGTTTTAGGACCAAGAGGGTGAGGGGATGCAGGGCAGGCAACTTTACAGAAGCTATTTCTGGCAGTTTCTGATAAGCAAGGGGTAGCAGCTTTACACAGTGGACTTCAAGTTAAACATTACAATGGAAAATTTTTTTTCCTTTTTCTTCTCAATCAGCATTTTTCAGAGCAAGCTAGCTGTTTTTATTTACAGAAGCCAAAGTCAGCAGTTATCGCAAGGAGAACGGGGCAGCAGTTACAACTTATTTTTGGAAAAACAGCTTTATCTTATATAAAATGGCATTGCTTAGGTTCTAACTCTAGACCAGCTATAGCACACAATACAGCCTAGTGACGGAGTGAGACTCTTTCCCCTAAAAAGAAAAAATAAATAAAAAAGAGCCAAACACCAGGTGTAGTGGCTCATGCCTGTACAGTAATCCCAGCACTTTGGGAGGCTGAGGTGGGCGGATCACGAGGTCAACAGATCGAGAGCATCCTGGCCAACATGGTGAAACCTCGTCTCTACTAAAAATACAAAAAATTTAGCTGGGCATGGTGGCGCACCTGTAGTCCCAGCTACTCTGGAGGCTGAAGCAGGAGAATTGCTTGAACCTGGGAGGTGGAGGTTGCAGTGAGCCAAGATCACGCCACTGCACTCCAGCCTGGCACCTGGCAACGGAGCGAGACTCTGTCTCAAAAAAAAAAAAGAAAGCCAAACATGGTGGTGTGTGGCTGTAGTCCCAGCTGCTCCTCTGGAGGCTAAGGTGGGAGGATCACCTGAACCCTGGAGTTGGAGATTGCACTGAGCCTGGATTGCACCACTGCACTCCAGCCTGGGTGACACAGTGATACTCTGTCTCTACAAAACATAAAAAATCTGTCTTTATGTACAAGAGATACATGCTGCCAAACTCATTAAGAATAAGTAATGCAACCAACTGTGTACTCTCAGAAACTTGAGAAATGTGACCAGGATCTCAGCCAGTGTTACCCTTGTACTGCAAAGCCCTGCAGTACCATCTGTGACATTTCTTTCTATTCACTCAAAAAAAGAAGAGATTAATTTTTTTTTACAAATTATACTGTTCAAATCAACACATCAAGTGGTGCATTTAGAGGTGTTGGTCGAGGTCTTAGAGGCCACGTGACTAGAGAAGGGGGCTGAAGTCTCAGAGGATACTCAGGAGAAGGTTGAGTGTTGGTTGAGAGAGCAGGTCATCCAAGTGAAGGAGTTGGCTGAAGTACTAGATAAGACCTAGGTGAAGGAGCAGGCTGAGGGCTGAAAGGTCATGAGTAGATAATTTAGGTACTAGAGGAGACTCATTTGAAGATGATAGCTAAGGGAGGCCACCAAGGTAGATAAGGTGGCTGAGGTTCCAGATGCCTTTAACTGGAGAAGTAGGCTGAGGTCCCAGAGGCCACACTGCTGGAGGAAGAAGATGAGGTCCCCCAGGATAGACACCTGGATGAGGTGAATGGGGTGCCCCAGGAAAGACAGGTAGATGAGGTGGATGGGGTCCCCCAGGACAGATAGAAGGATAAGGTGGTTGCAGTAACTCAGGACAGACAGCTGGATGAGGTGGATAAAGTCCCATAGGCGATGCAGCTGGAGGAGGTGGTGGGAGTCCTACAAAACAAACAGCTGGAAGACATGAAGGAGGTCCCAGAGGACACTCGATTGCTGGAGGTGTCTGCAGTTTCAGAAGATCACCAGCTGGATAAGATGGTGGAGGTACCGGAGAGCACTTGACTGGAGGAGGTGACTGTGGTCTCAGAGAACCTTCACTTGGAGAAGATCGTTGAGGTGGCACAGGACCCTTGAGTGAAGTAGGTGGCTGAAGTCCCAGAGGACACATGAGTAAAATAGGAGGTTGAGGTGCCAGAAAACACTCAAGTGGTGGAGTCACCTGTGGTCTCAGAAAATCATTAGCTGAAGAAGATGGTACAGGTAACAGATCTAACTTGGGTGGAGGTGTGTGTGGTCTCAGAAAACCTTCAGCTGGAGGTGGTGGTAAAGATATCAGAGAACACTCAAGTGGAGTTGCGTGAAGTCTTAGAACATCTTCAGCTGGAGACAGTGGTAGAGATACCAGAGGACGCTCAGGTTGAGGTGTGTTGGGTCCTAGAAAATCTTCAGCTGAAGACGGTGGTAAAGGTACTAGTGTACACTCAGGTGAAGGTGTCTGTGATCTCAGAAAATCATCAAGAATGTGAAGAGATACCAGAAGACACTCTATTGAAACAGGTAGTTGAGGTCTCAGGGGACACTCAAAAGGTGGAGCTACCTGTAATCTCAAAAAATTATCAGTTGGAGAAAGTGGTTGGGATCCCAGAGGACACTGGATAGAAGGTGTGTGTGGTCTCAGAAAATCATCAGCTGGAGATGATGGCATCAGTACCAGAAGACACTGGAGTAGTGGTGTCTGTGGTGTCCAAAGATTATCATTTGGAGAAGGTGGTAGAGGTGCCAGAAGACACTCAGGTAGAGTTGTATATGGGCTCAGAAAATCATTGGCTAAAGGTGGCAGAGGTAACAGAAGACATTCATGTGTAGGTGTCTGTGGTCTCAAAAACTCATCATCTGGAGAAGGTGGCAGAGATACCAGAAGACACTTGGGTGGTGTTGTGTATGAGCTCAGAAAACCATTGGCTAAGCAAGGTGGTAGAGGTGCCAGAAGACATTCATGTGTAGGTGTCTGTGGTCCCCCAAAATTATCATCTGGAGAAGGTAGCTGAGGTCCTAGTGGACACTGGAGTCAAGGAGTTGTCAGAGGTCCCAGAATACCTTTAGCTGATGGGAATGGTTGAGCTCCCAGGTGACACCCTGATGGAGGAAGTGGCCAGCAACCCATCAGTGGTCTTGAAGGGTCAGCCATGATGTAGGGCAAGTAGGACAATCCTGAGCAATGATGATGTTGTGCTGCAGCCATATTAACCTGCAGGAAGAAGGAGGAAGTGTTTTGAAATTATTAATTTGATGGACAAAACTGCCAACAACAACACAGGCTACACCTTATGTTGCTGCTGATAGTTTTTTGCACCTTTCCATCCTCCAGGTTTCAAAATAGCAGCATTAGTGTCATGAAGTCACCCTTCCACTAAGTACCACCAGCAGCTGGGGCATGAAGAAAAGTCATTGGGACAAACTGTTTTCTCCACATGCCACTGTGTCTGTCTGCAAATGTAGGCAGGCTGGGGGCCTGCCCCAGGGAAGACAGAGTCATAACACAGTAAGGAAGAAGCATGTTTCAGACACAGGAGTGTCTATGTCTATCCTCATTCCTCCCTGACCACCATCACCAGAGCATGCTCCTTATATCAGATAAACAGCGAGTAAGAGAGGCATGAAAAACCCATTGTCCACACGTGTTGCAGCTTGTTTTTGGAGAATGTTCTCCAGGCCTTTTATGTTCTGTCTCTGATTCTCAGAACTGTGCAAGTCAGTGTGACCACCCTGCTCCAAATCTAAGAAAACAGAAGCTCCCCAAGGAAGGAGAGCATGTGCCCAGGGTCACACAGCTTGCAGGAGGCAGAGTGGAAGTTGATTCCAGCTCTGCCTGCAGGACCCTCTCATTTCCCATCCGCTTCCCTTCTTAACAAAGGGTCTTCTTCACTCTGGGGGTGCCCCCTGTGAAAACAAATGGCTCTGGGGAAGTGTGGATTCCTGAAGACATGCAGGGGAACTTGGAGAGGGTTTTCTGACAGAACAATCTAACATACTGAAGTCAGTTACGCATGGTTGGAATATTTCTTTTAACTCCCAGGTAATACAAATTTTAAGTGCACTTTGACATAAATAATACTATTGTCCATAGAAAAATAAGGCGGGAATTCTGAAAAAAAAATCAAGTTTTAGAAAGTGTTTGATTTCAAGTGTACAATTCCCATCATATGTAATCATAGGACTTGACAGCTGTTGAAAGTACAGAGGCCACATGAGAACAAGCATAGCTGAGCATCATTTAAGGCCTTCATTGGGAATTGTTGCTGTGGGTAATAGGTTACATTCACTTTCACTAACTCACAGTCAAGGCATTTCCTATTACAAATATGGAAACTCTGACACTTAGAATATTAGATCAGGGGCACAACCAAAGGGGGGAAGGTGTTTTTGCACAACACAGTTACCAACAGGAATGGGACTGTGATGAACTATGGAATTGAACTTGTCAAGGAGCATTCAAAATTGCACAAAGCACATATTAATGTTGGATTAATGAGTTTTCACTTTCATCACTTCTGGGAATACAGCAGATATTTCAACTGTTAATCACCTACTTTATAGAAGAAAACAAAATCACAGCAAAATAAAAGAAAACCCCATATATTTCAGAAGTAGACCCCACAACATCTTGAGTAAAAGATATCAGTCAGAGTACACTGGGCCATGAGACCTACAGCAGTGGAGGTCAATCCACTCAAGATGACTAGCTGGGAATGGAGCAGCCAGAAAGCTTGTGGGGAAGACTTTGCTTCTGAAAAAGTCGAGACAGAAAAGGTATCACAGTACCCACAGAGCAGATGCCAGGCCAGGAGAAGGCGATGGAGGAAAAGACTACGGTGTCCTGATACAGGCAGAGTGAAAATTACTCCAGCATTTACCTCTGTCTTCTCTGTGTTTTCAGTTGGGACACAGCTGCTATTCCTCACGGGAACTGAATGAGGCCCTGAATCTGCTAAGGGCCAGAGAAGGGAATGGGGCTAAATCTGGCTTGCAAGTTCTGTGGAGAATAAGAAACCCTCCACACCCTCTGCTGCCATCTCACTCTCTTTTCCACATTCAGGTCCCTTACCAGAGTGACAGCGTTTATTGACCAGGTGTCTCAGAGGAGGCTGGAGCCCTCTGGGCCTCTGCCTTGAGGGAGACAGAGCAGAGCCCTGGTCCAGGGATTTTCTTAACTCTCAACAGGCTGCGGACAGGTAGGGCGCTAACCAGTTGGAAAGGAGCTTTAAATCAGGGGTTCCCAGTACATATCAAGAGAAATCACCCATCATGGGAGCACAGACTCAAAATTAAAATTGAAACAGCCATAGATGGGAAGAACATTTATAGGCCCAGGACAGGAGCAGCACTATTCCTTTTCTTCAAGCTATAAGGGCATTTAAAATTCTGTGGATTCACAGTGAATCTAACCTCCATATATCACCAGGCATTGTCAATATTTATGAATAGAAATGAACATAATGATACCAACCGTCATGAGAAAAGCTAAGAGCTACAGAAATTAAATGGAGGCCAGGTCTGGTGGTTCACACTTTTAATCCCAGCACTTTGGAAGTCTGAGGCAGGAAGATCACCTGAGGTCAAGAGTTAAAGACAAGCCTGGCCAGCATGGTGAAATTCTGTCTCTACTAAAAATACAAAAAGAAAAAATTTGCCAAGCATGGTGGCAGGCGCATGTACTCCCAGCTACTTGGGAGGCTGAGACAGGAGAATTGCTTGAACTCAGGAAGCGGAGGTTGCAGTGAGCAAAAATCATGCCACTGCACTTCAGCCTGGGTGACAGAGCAAGGTTTTCAAAAAGAAAAAAAAAAAAGAAATAAAAGAAAGAAATCAATTGGAAAGTTTTAGGGTTGCACTTCAAAGGTTAAAGGAGTAACATTACATAGAAATTTAGCTTACTAAAGGAGTTACATAGTTCACAATAAACAATTTAAACCAGCAAAAAGAATAAAGGAAGTTCCAAAGAGTGCAAATAAATGCTTCTTTTCTTTTTTTTTTTTTTTTTTTTTTTATGAGGGGGTTTTTCCCTCATGTTGCCCAGGCTGGAGTGCAATGGCGTGATCTCGGCTCACTGCAACCTCCGCCTCCTGGGTTCAGGCAATTCTCCTGCCTCAGCCTCCTGAGTAGCTGGGATTACAGGCACGCACCACCATGCCCAGCTAATTTTTTGTATTTTTAGTAGAGACGGGGTTTCACCATGTTGACCAGGATGGTCTCGATCTCTTGACCTCGTGATCCACCCGCCTCGGCCTCCCAAAGTGCTGGGATTACAGGCTTGAGCCACCGCGCCCGGCCTTAATGCTTCTTTTCTTAAAGCAGATCTCATGGTACTGCTTTATTGATCCATGAAGACATTGCCCAAAAATCTCTGCTCTCATCAGCACTTACAGCTCCCATTCTAAAATGCTATGTTTGTTACTTTTCTCAAATGAAAGAAAAATAAAGCCTTCACACTGACTCAAGGTGGGAAGGGGAGCTGGCCCATTTGCCTTGCAGGCTCATCTTAGCTGTTAAAAGTAACCAAGACTTGAGGGTGGGGCAATGTCCACAGTCAGTGGAGGGGCCTGAGCTCCACCATTCACAGGGAATCAGCCAAGAGGCCTTCAGCTAGGGCACCTGAGAAAAATGGGGTCCTGCCACCCAAAGGAACAACTGTTCTCTTCATAAGTGCTTGGAACTGTTTCCAGGAAACATGACAATTACCCAACCCGAGGCTTCACCACCAAAAGGAGAAGCAGGGTGTGTGGATTGTGCAGCAGAAATTAAGCAGCTGCCTTGATAGGAGCTTCTACCTCTCCGGAAAGTGTTCTTTATGCCCAAGTGTTTCTTGGCCAGCTCCTCACTCATATGTCTCTCCGGCATTCTTCTTTTTCCTCATTTCCCATCTAGAAGACAGAGAAAGAAAGAATTGACTTGAAGAAGAATTAAAACACCACGTTCTTTACTAGGCACTCAAAGCTTCAACTTAAAAAAAAAAAAAATCCTTTAAAATGACCATCACAACTGGGTGAGGTGGCTCATGCCTGCAATCCCAGCATTTTGGGAGGCTGAGGTGGGTGGATCATCTGATTTCAGGAGTTTGGGAGCGGCCTGACCAATATGGAGAAACTATCTCTACTAAAAATACAAAATTAGTCAGGCATAGTGGCACATGATTTTAGTTCCATCTACTCAGGAGCCTGAGGCAAAGAATTGCTTTAACCCAGCAGGTGGAGGTTGTGGTGAGCTGAGATTGCACGACTGCACTCCTTCTGAGTGACAGAGCCAGACTCTGGCTCAAAAACAAAAAAAAATCCATCACAATGACCTATCTGTGCTGCTTGTAGGCAGACTTCCTCTCTGCCATCTCCCTATCCAAGGCTTGAGCACAGAGCTGTAGTGAGAAAAATACATCCATGTCCTGACCTCACTGACTGTGCCCAAAAGCAAGGAAAACAAACAAACAAAACTTACTCAGTTGTCAAGAGCCTTTCTTGCAGAAGGGGCCATCTGAAAAAGCCACTATGCCCAGCCTGAAAGAACATCTTTTAAATTATTTGTAGAATTTGATTCTTCTGATTTGAACTCCCAGGTAATGCAAATTACCTGGAAGTTAAATTCAGAATTAGTACATTAAAAAACATCCCATCCCCAGGCATGGTGGCTCATGCTTGTAACCCCAGCACTTTGAGAGGCTGAGGCAGGTGGATCACTTGAGATTGGGAGTTTGATACCAGCCTGGCAAACATGGTGAAACCCCATCTCTACTAAAAATACAAAAATTGGCTGGGTGTGGTGGCAACCACCTGTTGTTTTAGCTGCTGAGGGTGGGGGTTGAGGCAGGAGAATCACTTAATCCCAGAAGGTAGAGGTTGCAGTGAGCCAAGATCACACCATTATACTCCTGTCTGGGTGACAGAGCAAGACTCTGTCAAAAAAAAAAAAAAAACTTCCCGCAATTTATATTAACAATTCTCTTTTCAAGACTAAGTGGAGTAGGGACTGTTAAATGCAGCAGGGCATGGTGGCTCACACCTGTAATCCCAGCATATTGGGACATGCAACTTGGAAGGTGGTGGATCACCTGAGTTCAGAGTTCAAGACCAGCCTGACAAAAATGGTGAAATCCCGTCTCTACCAAAAATACAAAAATTAGCCAGGCATGGTAGTGCACACCTGTAATTCCAGCTACTTAGGAGGCTGGGGCAGGAGACTCAATGACACCTGGAAGGCAGAGGTTGCAGTGAGCTGAGATTGTGCCACTGAACTCCAGCCTGGGCCAGAGACTGAGACTCGATTTAAAAAAAAAAGAGAGAGAGAGAGAGAGAGAGAGACTGTTAAATGTGCCTAGGTTTCTTCATAACTCATTTATTTTTTGTTTTCTACATATCTTGAAAGGCAGTCCTGAATGGAGGGTAATTATGTAGGTTGTAAAAATAAAACATACTTCCTCTTCCCTTGAATATAAAACAGCATTGTGGGATTAGTGCTTTTTTCTTGGATCGTTGTTCAGAAGGAGGGTCAGCCCCCAGCCACATTTTTACTATCATGAATGGCAAGAGAAAATGTACAGCTCAATTTACGCAATGGACAAAAAGGCTCAAACGATGGCACAACTTAGCAGCCAACTTTGGACATGCTGATCCCTCTCCACTTGCAACTGGGAACATGCACTTTGAATGATGTCATTCAAGATTACCCTGCCCAGACACTCTTCATTGATTCTCTGAAGGGCAATTCCAACAGATTCTCTGGGGCTTTCTCTGCATCATGAGTGGCAGTGCAGCTCTGCTCTTCACTTTCCTGCAGTTTGTCACCTCTTCTCTATGATCTCAGAGGAAGTTTGTCTTAGGCCAAATGTTTGTTTCTTGGGCTCTTTCATTTCCCCCTAAAAATC